AAACCGCCTGTTGATATTTTCACTGCCAACCGAGATACGGGGTCTTTTTGAATTTTTTGCCATTTGAAAAATTGCCCATAACTTTGGTATTTCGCGGAATAATAAAATTCTGTAAAAACGTTCTTAGGGCACTTTTAAGCACAATCCAATGGCGTAGTCAGTTTTTTTCTATACGTGCTCTTTTTGTCAGAAATAATAAAAAATATAATTTTTTAAAAGGAAATTATAGTTTGCTATGAACTTAAAAAAATGCTGGCGTTTAACCCTTTCCAACGATATAAAGTTATGTATATTTATTTCTAAGAATGAGAGAAATATTAGTTTTTTTTTGCTTTGTATCGAAGCGGACCTTGATTTTATGTTGACCTAGTTGCCTAATTATTTTTTATCACAATTTAATATTCTATATTATTATTTATCTTCATAATTAAAGACTTGAAAAGGTAAATCATTCTATATTAGTATTACCATTTACAATTAAAACGCCAGGGTTGGAACTGCATTATTAAATGGAGAATTTAGAGAGAATTGGATTGAAGAAGAAATATAGAAACTCCCATATCTTGGCCTGCTAGATCCTGTGATTTAACTCATTTCGACTTTTTTATGGGGGAAATTAAAAGACCTTATATGTATATAAGGGAAGAACCATTGGAACAAGAGAAGAATTACAGAAGGCTAATAGGCAAGCTTTTGGACTTATTACACCAGTTCGCCTAATAAATCCTTATAACTTTGTGCGCAAAAGATGTTTATTGTGTATTCAACAAAGAGGTGCTCCGTTTGAACATCTTTGATGATTTTTTTTAGAAAACTATATTCGTCACTCAAAAAATTCGTTTTTTTAGTATTGTTCTTTGTTTATTGTATATATTTCAATTGTAATTACTAATATTAATATAGAGTGTTAATTTACCTTTTAAAAAGTCTTTAATTATGCAGATAAATAATAAAATATTAAATTGTGATAAAAAATAATTAGGCAAATAGGTCAACACAAAATCAAGGCCCGCTTCGATATAAAGATAAAAAACCTAACATTTCTCCCATTGTTCGAAATAGACACACTTAACTTTATATCGGTGGAAAGGCTTAAATGCCAGCATTTTTTTAAATTAATAGCCAACTATGATTTCCATTTAAAAACTTATATTTTTCATTATTTCTGATAAAAAGAGCAAGCATAGGAAAAAACTGACTACGCCACTGGATTCTGCTTAAAAAAGTGCCTTAGGAACGTTTTTACAGAATTGTATTATTCCGCGAAAAAAAAAATATGGGCAATTTTCCAAACGTTAAAAAAATCAAAAAGACCCCGTATCTCGGTTGGCAGTGAAAATATCAATAGGCGGTTTAGGCCATTAAACGTGTCTCAGAAATTGAGCCCATGACATCTATGTCGGTTTTGTTTTATCTAGTCAGGAAATAGGTGTTCTCTGTTAAAACAGACCAATTTCGACCACTCTGTACAGTTGTACAAATATAGGAAGAGACTTGGGGATAGCACCGGTCGCGTGTTATTTTATATTTCTCACGTCTCTAGCTATACTTGTTAAGTTGTACTATGGGTACGTAAGGTTGAATTTAAAATAACCGAGAAAATAACAAAAATTTGAGCAATTTTATAACAAACAGAAATAAATAATCTTTTGCTTTCCCTGTGTAATATCCAATCAGTTGATTTACACAGATCGAATATATTGACTTTTGTTAACGTATATAACCCAAATTTTAACTTTTAACATGTTCAATTCATGATTTTATCAATGCTTCATATTTTTTTATCAATTCATGTTTTTGCCAATTTTACACATTTTGAGAGTGAGTGGTTGCCGGAGATAGTGTTGCCAGAACTACTGATTCCGTAAATTTACGGATTTTGGGTACAGTACGTTAATAATACGGATTTTCTATCATTAAACAATTTCATATAATATTATCAGAGTTGACTTGGAAATGAAGGTCACTGTTGTTTCTTATGTCAAATATTATGGTTAATGTCAATAATCATCATTTCCAAGCCAACTAAATGACTTTTTTCGATCATACGCCATATTCAGTACCTATAAAAGAATTTTTATTTTTATTGTTTATTCTATGCTTAATACGAATAAATTTTCAATACATAAACGCGGATTTTTCATCCAAATATATTTTCGTCAAACATATTACAGTTATTACACATTTTAATTAGTGATGGGTTGTTATTTAACTATCTGTTATTTTATAACAATTATTTAGAAATAACATAACGCAACCGTTACTAGTTTTAAAAAATAACAGATATAAAATAACGACACGCAGAGATCGACTGTTCGTGAAACGAAGTCGGCGCTCTGCACCGCCACGAAATTCGATGCTGCTCGAAGCAATTCCAAAAAACAACTAGTATGGATGGAAAACCTATTATTTCGACAACCATCGATACAGGCAGCTAGATACAACGGACAACGGAGTGGGGTATGCGCTACGGCGCGGCGCGTCGTGTTGGACTGACAACAGCTTAAAAATAATAGGATATAAAAGAAGCAGCTTTTTTGAAACAGTTGCGGGCATAACGCCTGGCGGTCGAGATAACAGGAGTGGGATAGGAGCGCTGCTGCATCGGTCGATTGTCTATGGAGGCTCGCAACGGGTTGGAGAATAACGCATCAGTTGTTTTAGCTATGTTGTTTTTTTACCTGTGACGAGCATAACAGAACGGCGTTCAAGATAATCGGAGTGGGAAAGTAACGCTGCTGCATCGGTCGATGGAGGTTTGAAACAGGTTGGAGAATAACGCATCAGTTGTTTTAGATACATATTGTTTTTCAACCTGCTACGAGCATAACGGGCGGAGGTCGAGATATTATAGCGCTGTATGTTTCAGTACTTTGTTATTAAGTTTTAATATTTAAGTATTTATTTATTCTGAAAAAATTTCAGAATAATATTTTAAGATTTTTTAAAAATGTATACAGGGTGTTTTGAAAAATCTGGTCATTGATTAATCACGATCCTGCTTAAAGCCCTTGACGTAAAAAGCTGATTTTTGGAAAACGGATTGACTTTAGGGTGTAGAGGTTCGATAAGAAGGGATTTTTCGAAACTCAAATCTAAGGGGGTGAAACCACCCTCAAATATTAGAATATTTTTTATTTAAAAACTGGTGAGTTTTTCGAAAAAACTCTTAAACACGTATATTTTATTTTGTTGTTTTACATATTTTGAGATTTTTACAAAATATATACAGGGTGTTTCATAAAATATGACCACTGAGTAATCATGATTCTGCTTAAACTGCTTGACCTTTAAAGCTGATTTTTGGCAAACGGATTGACTGTGGGTTGTAGAGGTGCGATAAGGAGGGGTTTCTCGAATCTCAAATTCCAAGAGGGTGAAAACGCTAATATTACAATATTTATTATTTAAAAAACGGTTAGTCTTTCGGGAAAATTATTGGACACGCATAATTTATTTTGTTTTTTTACATATTTTGAAATTTTTTAAAAAATAATACAGGGTATTCCAAAAAGTTGAGTAACTGATTAACCACGATTTTGCTTAAATTGCTCGACGTTTAAAGCATATTTTTGGCAAATGTGAGAAAATTTTATCCAGTTTGTATGTTAATGGAAATTCTTGCTTTGCTTTATCATCACCATTACAAATTAATAATTCGACGCGAACGAAGTCGCGGGTACAACTTAACAAGTATAGCTAGAGACGTGAGAAATATAAAATAAGAGACGCCCCCCGATGCGCAGTGGACATCCCACAAATTTGCTTCAATCAGATTTTTCGTAGTGTGACTGCATCTCTCTTCCGCCGAACGCGTTCTCTCTCTATCGTGTGCGCGACCGGTGCTATCCCCAAGTCTCTTCCTATATTTGTCAAACTGTACATGCTAGTTTAAGTGTAAGATTAATTCGAACTCTAGTGTGTAATTGGTTTACTTATGAAGAATATACTACACATTTTCTTATATTGCTATTTTTTGACCGCAAATGGTAAAATCATAACTAAGAGCTTCTCGCCCGTCGAGTGAGATGCACTCTGTACACTGCTACGCAATTCAGAATCTACGCGGATCGAGGGGTAGGGCGTAGATAGATCGGAATTGATAGATATAGACGAGTGGCGGCATTTTTTATATCGCAATTTGTAAACAGCGCTTATTTGTAAACAACCCCCGTTTTTAGAGAGGTATTTTAGATAACAATCGATATTTAGAAATGTTATGACACCCTGAAAATACTACCACCGAGCACGTCATTGTTGCAACTTGCAACTGCGTTAATACGCCTGGCGGTGACTGCCTCATACTCTTTCAGATATTTAGCAATAAAATAAAGAAACCTGTTATTTTTAAGCTGTTATTTTAAGCTGTTTTTTATAAATAACTATAACAGTTTCAACTGTTATCTAAAAATAACAGTTTTGCCCATCACTAACCTGGCTAACTTTCTTCCTTGGTACCAGTAACTGAGTTGTTACTGTCCTGCCATCCGCACTTTCCCACGTGCGTTTAACAATCCATTCTCGATCACCAGTGAATTCCACTGAGCCCAGAGAGCTTTGAAAACCAGCCCTCTGTCCGCAATATCCTCAATTCAATAATTCAATAACAATAAATTTCAATCGTTTATAGAGAATTTACCCAGTGGCGGATCCATTGGGGGGGGGACTTCGGGGGCTCAATCGCCCCCCTTAAGATCTGTCATGTAATACGATATTATTAATTTATTATGTCCGAAACGACTCCGGAGTATGTACTTTAAATAAAGTTATGTGTGAAACCCCCCCCCCTTTTTCGAATTCTGGATCCGCCCCTCTCTGTTCCGAAATCCAACTGTAAATAAACAAATTGTTTACCTTTTGCTTGTATCAAATCAAATCGATATATTTGTTGAGTCTATATATATTTTGTGTCTAAATCTTTTACTTACTAAAACGAAGCTAACTAAACTATATGTAATGTGCACAAGAAATCATTTTTAATACTGACTTTTTCTTTACAGTACCACTGAAGAAATGCACCCCTGGCAAAGGTACACCATGTCGTACACCTGACAGGTTAGTAACTTGCAGATTATACATTTTCTAACAATTAACATTGTTTATGCTATACATTTTTCATTATATTAAAATAAACTATTATTATTTTACTATAATATTGCTGCACATTAAATGAAAAGTTTTTACTTGTATTTCTGCTATGCACCTTATAAGTTTGTGGAAAACTCATATTCCTGTAAATAGGGGCAACATTGTATGATGAAAAAAAATCGTGATGGTTATATATTTTAAAACTTTTCCAACATACCTCCACAACATGGACACCCAAAATCTCATTCAAATCGAAACAACGGTTCTTCAAATATCTTAAATAAATGTGTGTATTTTTTTAAAGTCTGATGCGCTCTAACGGACAAAGGAAGCACTTTTGTATATATTTGTCCACGGAATATTGGGACACCCTGTATACGGGTGATTCTGTTAAACTACTGCTATTTTTTTTAGTTTTGATCAATTCTGTTTCCAAAAATTTTATTAAGCGAGTGAAAATATTGCAGCACATTAAAAACACTTATCTTTATTTACATTGTTAGCCACTTCAAGCTACGACTGATTGCTCTGTTTAAACTACATCCCCGTTCTCATTTCCACTTGTCTCCCCCGTTTGACCGCACCCTCCGACGTAGGGGGCGCTGAATTAGTGTAAAGCGGCGGTCATCAATGACCGTTGCTAATTGGGCTCGTAAAATCACGAACACTACGATCGGGTATGGTCGTAAAGTCCAGACCGAGTGGCCAAATTTGTACCGAATTTAGGTGTTTGGAATTCGAAAAAAAATCGCTAGCTTTATAGTATCATAATTATTATATTAAGTACAGTTTGTCCATCGAAGGTATGTATGACTTTACTGACAATTTAATTGACAGTTGGGTTGATGTTATGTCTTTTTTTAAACATCATAACAAATATTATATGGTGTCCACACGTACAAGTTTCCCTTAAGGTTTACTTGCGCAAACTAGTTTGTACGGTTTTACTTGTCCGTGTGGATGAAATTTATACCTATCCAACATCAAGATATATGAAGCCCCTTCCACAAATAATGTTTTACCTGTCAGTCAAAAACGGGCACCACAAACTTTTCATGTATTTTAAAGTTTTATATATTTTGTTCTAGTGGACCGATTTTGATGATTTTTAAGCAATTTGTAGCTAGATTATTTGACTTTTTAGTATCTAGTTCTAAATTTAAAATGAAAGTTGCCATCTGTCAATTATACCAGTGAAAACAAAATGTAGATATTTCGGTGTAAGTTTGGAACACCCTGTGGAGTACGTTAACAAAGCCAGGAATTTAAAAATAATTTTATCATCTAGTTGTATCTTTTCTCGGTAGTTTGTTTTTTTGATTCATCTCAATAGTTTTTTTTGAGATATTCGCTTTTGAAAAAGACACTAAGATTTTTTCGTATTTTTTACATTAAAACCATGCCTTATTTGCTTTTGGTCCCAGTCAACAGACCTCTAAAATAGGGTTTGATTTATGTAATGTCTGTGAAAAATCATGTTATTATTGTCTGTTAGGCAGTTACTGGGTTTTAAGTTCAAAAGTTGATCTCTACCATGATCAATTAAAGCAGCAATAGCCCATACTTCAGAACTTAAAACCATCTCTACTATATAGATATATCGACGGTCTAGTACAGTGATTCCCAAAGTGGTCCAGGTGGACCCCCAGGGGTCCACGGGAGACTTGCTGGGGGTCTACGTAGGCGTGAACAAAAAATGGGGGTCCATAAGATGTTAATGGGGGTCCACGAAAATTTATCTGCTTTTGATAGTAAAGAGCAAAAATGTAAGCATAGTTTTTATAAGGGCCTACCTACATTGTTTTAAGTACCTATCTAAGCAGATAATATTTTAATAAGGCAAGCGACTGTTACTTGTCCAAACTTGCGTATTCGATATTACGTACAATTTCGTGTACAGACTTGCAAAGCGCTATCCGCCCGACAATGCTTAATGCTTGTTCAGACATGAACTTGATCACCACTATAAATACTTGATGCCAAAGGCAAACGCATTCATTTGTTTCCGGAATTTCGAAAAAAAGGCGGAATTTGGAAAAAAAGTTGTGAGAAAATTTATATCTGTGTTTGCTAGTGCCGGAGAAAAGTAAGTAACCTACCTTTTTTTGTTATAGTACTTAAGTATTTTGTTTACGTGTACTAGTCGGTTGATCACAACGGCCTGTATAGATAGGTAACTTAGTAACTTACAGATATTTTAATTGTCCTCTTTCGATTTGAAGACAAACACAGCACGTTTTATTCAATTGTTTTTTCACGAGAGAAACACTGCCTCTCTAAAAAAGGCCGAATAAGCAATATTGCAGAGCAATTAATTTTGTAATTTTTCTTGCAAATAACTACTAATTTTATAAAACAGTAATTTCATAATCATTTTAAATTGGTTTTGAAGTAACTATTTTATCAAAACTATTCGTTTCGGAAAGAGCGAGCGGTGCGCGGGCGACGGGAAAAGGGCGGGGCTTGGACTTCGATGCCAGTTTGTCACGTTTTAACAATGAAGCCGCAGACAAAAAATACGCAAATACACGGAGCGCGTGAACTCATTGATTTAATAAAATGTTAGTTATCGTTTTATGGACAATTTTGGGATTTCGACTTTTATTTTTTTCCTACACAAATATGATCAGTATTCGATACTGAGTACACCAATTTTTATTTATACTATTAAAAATTAGTGGTAAATTATGTACTTTTAAAATTGATACCGTTTTGTGAAAACGTCTGTATTTGTCTCAGCGGTTTATTAGTTGGTCCCTTTACAAGCCGTAATTCTATTTCCGCGTGCTGACAAAGGCTGCGGTGTGATACCTATATTCAGAAAAAACTTGGTTACTAAAACATTTTTTTTTACAGGTAAGGTAACTGACACGAAACATGGCTACAGCAAAGAAAAAATGTCGACAATATAGTATCGATTATTTGAAATATGGTTTTGTTCCATCAGAGGCAGACAAACAATTGCCCATGTGCCTATTATGCAACAAAGTTTTGAGCAATGACTCTATGAAACCATCAAAGCTCGAAGATCATCTAAAAAGGTGTCATACTGATAAAATAGGTAAAGATTTAAAATATTTTCAAACATTGAAAGAAAAATATGGAAAGAGACCCACCATGCACAGTATGTTCGCTTCAACATCTCAAAGTAACGATGATGGCTTGCGGGCATCTTACAATATCTCATTACTTATAGCAAAATCTGGAAAACCGCACACTATCGGAGAACAATTAATTTTACCCGCTGTTGAAGAGGTTTTAAAAACTGTTTTGCACAAATCTCCATTTGACGTACTAAAAAGAATTCCATTAAGTAACAATACTGTACAAAGACGCATTGATGAAATGAGCTCTGATATCGAAAGCTTTTTGTGCAATCATCTGCAAAAAACTCATTTTTCTATACAACTGGACGAGTCAACGTTACCCAGTAATGAAGCATTACTATTGGCATATGTCCGATTTATTGTTGAGGAAGAAATTCACGAAGAATTGCTATTTGCCAGAACTTTGGAGACTGACACTAAAGGCGAATCAATATTTAATGTCCTGAGTAATTTTTTTACGGAAAAATCGATCCCATTTACAAACATTATTTCAGTGGCAACAGACGGAGCTCCTGCAATGGTCGGGCGATATCGTGGGTTTATAAGTCATCTCAAAAGAATTATACCAGGACTTACAGCTATTCATTGCGTAATCCACCGACAACATCTTGTGGCAAAACATTTAAGTGACAGGTTGAACCAATCTCTTCATTTTGTAATAAAAGCTGTCAACAAAATCAGAAGCAATGCATTGAATACGCGTTTATTTGCTCAATTGTGCGACGAAAATGATGAAGACTTCCAACGACTGCTCTTACATACTGAAGTACGCTGGTTGTCGAAAGGTGCATGCTTAACGAGATTTTACTCTGTTTTCGATTCCATATTAGAGTTCTTAGAAAGTAGAGATCCAGATTTAAAAGAAAACTTGATCAAATTCAAAGCAGACATTGCGTATTTGACAGATTTGTTTAAAAAATTTAATGATATTAACTTGCAGTTACAAGGGGACAGCCTGAATTTAATAAAAACAAAGGGGATAATTTCGGCTTTTCTTGGGAAATTGAAATTTATGAAGCAAAACATTAGTCGGCGCGAATTCTCTCAATTTCCAAACTTGTCGCAGGTAGAATGTATTGATGAGGATATCCATACCTACAGTCAACATTTAAGTGCTCTGCATGATGACTTCAAAACCAGGTTTGAAGATATACTGACGATGGATATACCACCATGGATCATAAATCCATTTGATGAAACGGAAGTGGCCAATGTTGTATTACAAGAGGAGCTGCTCGAGCTAAGCACTAATGAGGAGCTGAAGGTGAAATTTAGAAAAGGCTACCCAACATTTTGGCTGCAAGCAGAAATACCCGAAAAATATCCTGGACTGTGGGAAATCGCAAGGAAATTTTTAATAGCTTTTCCCTCGTCATACCTTGTCGAAAGGAGTTTTAGTGCCGTTACAAACCTCTTAACAAAAAAAAGAGCAAATTAAACATCACAGAGCGGGGGATTTGCGGTTATTGCTCACAAAAATAAAGCCAAACATTGATCGTTTGCTGACACTCCATCAGATACATCCTTCCCATTAATTAAAATTATGACCTGAACCTATATTACCTTAATATTTTTCTTGTAATTCTATTCTTTTAATAAATAAAGTGATATAAAATGTACCATTTTTCGTTTTTATTTTACATATCGGAATATAGGGACAGAACTCAGAAGTGACACAATTTTTATTTTTTGGCGACTTTAAGAATGTGGTAGAAATGTAGCAGCAGGGGGTCCAAACCAGTAAAATTTTGAAAGTGGTCCACGAGAAAAATAAGTTTGGGAACTACTGGTCTAGTACGTAAATGTTGTAAGTGTATTTTCCAGCAAACAAATAATCTAGGCTAAAATTTTCATATGCACATCAATGGTAAGTAAAATATTCAATTTGTTTGTGCCAGAGCCATCTTCCATTTGTGTTAAGCATAATAAAGAACTTAAGTATAATCAAGAACGTGAATTTTGGCGAACTTATAAACATTAAAATTCATATAACTCAAAACATACATTTTTGTACTTACAACATTTGTGAACTAGACCATCAATATTACAGTATTTTTAATAAGAGGTTTTTTAACAAATAACAGTTTGGAATACTAAATATTTAGTACCCGAAGACGCGATAATAGATTCGCTAAACGTCGCACAAAATATAATTCTTTCCTTGAACCTTAACAATACCCACGCATTTTCTATATATTGATTATACATTAATCATAATGGTTTTCTATTAAATATTTGTTCTTTTACTTGGCATAGGAGGAAACTTAATTCAAACAGTGAAACACCAGGGTCGGCCAGGTGGATGTTGGGCAGCATAGAGAGGTCTCTTCACAAAGTCAGACATGCGCTGACTCCGAAAAAAACACTCGACCATCTATCGAGCGTACCGACGGTACTCAATAATAAAGTAAGTACAGTGTCAATTTTTAAAATTAAACATTATTTTTAATTTGTTTATTCTTTTTCTTTGATTTGAAATGTTTTCTGGCTTCGGTAAATATTTTAAAATTACAGTACAAACATGTTTATACATGCGACATGTTTAAGAACTGCGTGATCAGAGCGCTGGATCCCTTCAGTTGTCGTTTCTTTAAAAATACGTCGTCCTGTAGTCACTGTTGATAAAGTAAAACTAATACAGGACTCGTTTTTTTTGCGTCGATGTTGTTTGCAGCGATCCTATGGCAATAATTTATATCTGCTTTGTTGATTTTAACCTTAATTTCGTTATTACATTTGGGGGTTGGAAACTTTGGTGTTACAACAACAAAATAAGACACTAATTCACAATAATACACCAAAACACTTTCCTTTTGTGCTGGACGCGCGTTTCGCTAACCATGTTAACATCGTAAACAGATGATTAAAACTCATAAAGTTTATCATCTACGTTAATCATCAGCTGATGATGCTAACATAGTTAGCCAAACGCACGTCCAGTGCAAAAGTGAAGTGTTTTGGTGTGTTGTGGCGAATTAGTGTTTTATTTTGCTTTAATTTCATGTTTATTAACTTAAAATACTTGATGCGTAAAGTTGCAAAACCCGCCTTATCCATTTTTTTAAATGACCTAATTCGGCACATATATTATAAGTAGACTCGGAAATCTACATAAAGATAGTCCCAAACTGCAGCAATAGTTGCCTATTCATATATAAAATTCACTATAAATTACGTTCCTGAGCAACATCCGTGTTATCCACTTATATTTGCTTTTTATTGTCACTATTGTTGCAAATCCCGCATGTTTTCATAGGCTTTTTACACAAGTATAATATATTACTACTGACGGCTTATCCATTTCAAATCCTTACTTAATTTTAATAAAATAGCATATCTAATAAATCAAGTTTCGATGGTAACATCTAGATGTAGCAAAACCCGCAATATGTATCTTACTGCAACAAAACCTGCCTTATCCAAATTATTTTTGTTTTTTTTCTCTTTAAAAATTAAATATTAGTTTTGATTTCTAGAAAAAAACAGATACAAAACAATGATTCCACTCAGTGGACACGTTTGTTGTAAAATAACAATTCAAACATTTGCTAAAACAGTTTTTGCATATTATCTCGAAATAACGTTTTTGGGATAAGAAGGGTTTTGCAACTTGACGCGTCACTTGAATAAAGCGAAATAAAACGCTAATTCACCACAAGAAATATTAATTTCCGATGTAAATTTTGCTGCTATTTTTTTCGTGACTTTGTGTAGTTATTGAACTTCTGTAAGCTGCTTTCTAGTATCTGCCGCCACTCTATTTCCTGATCTAGTCATCTTGTGTGATTTAAATCTTCGAGCACATTAAAATTAGAATATAAAAGTAAGATTTTATAAAATTTACTGATTAGATTAGATTTTTAAGGTAGATCTCAGTTCACTGCGATCTTTTTAAATATATTGTGGTCCTTCTCAGTTCCCTAGGTTACGTTTTCCAATCTTATCATTTTCAAAAAGAGGAAACAATTTGGAGACTGAACCTGCTTCCATATCCAGCTCTTTATCAATTGCCTATCACTGCCTAATACAACGAACCGCATATTTTCCAGGCTGTTGCGATGACATAAAATGTGTTCTGTCTTTTCTTCTTCAGATTGATAAAATCTGCACATGGCTTCGTCCTTCAATCCCATTTGCTTTCATTTTTGACAATCTTTGCTTATCTGTTCTGCCGTAAAGGACCCTGTATCATACAGATTTTTTCTATTAATTTCAGGATCTATTTAACGTTTCAACCACGCACTGCAAGGACCCCGAATTAGTTTTAACCGAACTGTCCAAGGGTCTGGAGAAGAAAGGAATACTCTGCAAACGAAAAGGGTAAGAATGAATTACATCTATTTTTTTCGGTATTTCTTCTGCTTCTTGCTCTAACCTCACGGTTCTATTAAGGAAGTGGAAACGTCGAGGAATACGTAATGTATGAGATTAATTTGCATGATTACACACCAGCCATGTTTGACCTTATCATTTCGACAATCGGGCCTTTTTCTTGCCTCTCTTTCTCCCGACGAGACCAATTTGCAAATCGTTAGCTCGCAGCGATTTTACGAAATTGCAAATGATGCTTTCGGCGATCGAGCGTCTTAACGAGCCCAATTAACGACATGACGATTTGTGCTCGAGTCCTATCGCTTTCGTCATGCCCGCGGAAAAGGAACAGAACTGTTGTTTACTTAGATAATTTTCATTTATTCAAAAATATCTTTATCAGGGGCATATGAACAAACTTAATTGAAGGGATCAATATGGCTGACCTAAATTCCGGTTCATCAGTGCCGTTCTAATTTTATTTAAACCGGGTAAAAATATAACGTAGACTAGACTCAATAAATTATTGGTTTTGTTTTACGTTATCAATGAATGTTACTGGTTATTAAAATTAGTAAAAAAATATTTTTAATAGGAATAGATAAGTTATAACAATTTATTTAGTTGTGAGTGTCACACTTTCTTAATTAGGTAAGAAAATTTTAGTGTCGCACTTTCTTAATTAGGTAATAAAATTTTATGGTGTTATTTAAAATCCAAACTTAAAGATTTACAATTTTTAGTATAATTTAGCAATTTATGATAGAAGCTTGTGAATAAATTTCAGGGTAACATATCTACAAATATTTAATAATCATATACCTACATAATTATATTCTCATATTTGATTTTAATGAACGACTGATACAAAATAAGATCCCTAATCTTTAGAATAACCAACTAGAAATACACGCTATGAGTAACAGTGGCGGCTCGTGACACATGTGATTGGGTAGGCGACAAAATTTTAGTTGCCCCTATTTGCCCCCCCCCCCTAAATTTACATAATACCCTAACCCAGTTCGTAAATATATGTTATCTCTGGGTTAAAAACATAGCTCAAGAATATTTAGGACAAAACTAAAGCAAAAGTGACAGCATTCAACGTAATGACATAATGATTGACATAATGTACAAGTATATGTTTGTTTATCTATTACTATGGAGTTACTATGGAGTACATCATAGAATTTTATTTTATTTATTTACGCAAACTTAAAAAAATGGTAGTATTATAAAAAAGAATAATTATGTTTTATATATTAAATTGATGAGTCGGTCTCTTGATAAAGAAAAGTTATTTAATATTATATCAGTAAAATCATCAGATTGTTGAAGAGCTGTGAAAAGATCTTTTTAGATTGAAAGTAAGGCAAGTGGCGATAAACGTTTATTTTTCATGGAATCTCTACTATAAATTTGAATGCATTTCAAACATGAAAAATGTCCCCAACCCAAGTAGTGCGTTGGAATTTTTTTATAGGATTCTTTAAATTTCGGATTTATTAGGATAAATAAAAATAATTGAGACATACGAGTACCTATCTGCAAACCTTATTTCTAATGTATAACAGTGTTATCTAATATTTCATAAAATAGGTAACATTATTTATTAACATATCGAATTAATTAGCACACTGAGACTTTTCTGTAATATCTGTTGTATCGCCTTCTTGCACCGAATAACGCGCTCTTTTATTTCGGATTCTTTTATTTCTGTGGCGTGTTCTGAAATACAACCAGTTATATAATTTTGAATAACGTTTCCAATTTGTTTTAAACGTTTTTTGAATTTTTATATAAAAGTTTTAAATGCTATGTATAATGAATCATATGAAATATCCCCTTAACGAAATGTGATATATTCCTTTATAAAATATCGGGAATATTCCCTTAACTTCTAAGCCTACCGAGCCTCCACGACTTCATGCGAAGGCGCCCGGAGATTTCGCCTAAGCCCCGCCTTATACGATACAACTCCGACTTACGTCGCGTCGCTACCGCACTATGAGTTAGACAGAGACAGAAGACTGCCGTACGTCGTGCATCGACTCTGATAGTGTCGATGCGGCAGTGAATATTTTAAAATACAAGACCACAAATATTAAAATAATATTGATTATTATAACACACTTCCGTGTATTAACAGTATTTTTATGTATTGGCAACATTAATAGTAAATAATGTAATGTTACCGCTTAAATTCTGCCAAAATTTTGGGATAGGCGCCGCCTACCTTGCCTACCCTGACGAGCCGCCACTGATGATTAATACTAGTTATGTAATCTTTAGCGAGAATATTTTATTGTTTCTTTTTAAATATCAACTTACAATGCCACCGTATCATTTTCATTTAACCCTCGACCGGGCGCGCCCGGAATTTTGTTACGCATTTTTACTAATTTCGTTAAAACAAAATATAAAATATCCATTGGACGTAGGGCGGTGGTGCCATTAATTATTCTTATTTAGGGATATTTGACACTCTGGGTCGTAATAGTTGCGTATCCAGCGATTTTGGTTCAGTAGCAATTCTGTCGTAAACCTGGCAACTACAGAAATTGCGGTACTCCGTGCCGCTACGCGCCCGGTTATGTCAGTAAAATAGTTATCATATTTTGTAATTATTGTTTTATTTGGTGTAATTTTAAATTGTTAATTAATTATTTCGATTGCGTTTGTAATAATCTGTTAAATATATGTTTATAACCTGTAGTAATGACGGAAAGAGCCAATATACAAACTCTTCCCAGAGATTTCCAAGTTTTTCTCGCTAAATATGCTCCAGATGTAAAGGTACCAGTTAGATTGCCGTAAATTTAGAAATTACCCATAAAACTACTAGTTTTTGCAACTAATGCAACAAATTTGTTCGCAAAAACTACAGTGATAGACTAGTCAATTGTGTTACTGGTAGATATCTACCTATAGAAGAAGATTTAGATATTTAGATGATAGTTTTATCTTCTTCCAGTGGTTACAAAATATATATATATATATATATATATAAATACATAGATAGTGTTATACTCTTTTATTAATATTTTTATTCAAAGTGTAATACACTCATTCATGAACTACGTTGTATCGTACGGTTTATGTCGTCACGATTTGTTTTTGACTTTACAATACAGTGCGTCCAAGATAACGTCGAAATCTTCCTTGACTCGTGGGACAGACTTTATATCATTTGTTGAACAATTTTTATGATCTAGTTGGCTTCGACTTTGACAGTTAAAAAATTTCTAATAAAATTTCTCATTTTCATATTATACCAAAGCTTTTTGATCATAAAAATGTATAATAACAATGTATAATTTGTAAAGCACAATTCATTAACAAGTTTGGCTACTTGGTTTGCTACAACAATAATTATTAAATAACCACCTCCTGAGGAAGATGAGGTGGATCATTTCTACAAGTATTTTGGTAGTCAGTTACGCAAATTGGATGATATGTTTAGGTTAGAAGTGCAACTTAAATCTATGAAAATTGTTTTTATACAACAAAAATATGGTTTGAGAAAAAATAAAACTGTTATAAACACATATTTATTTATTTACCCGTCCCCATTGCCATTCTACTATGCCTTCATTTACAAAATATTGAGTAATTTTTCAGTTTTAACTTCTGTGGCTACAGCAGAATTCATGTTGCTTTTAATTCATCGTTATCCTTTTTCAACTTAGCTCTTGTTTTTAGCATCTCTTTTTATTTGACCAAAAAAGTAGAGCATTGCTCAACTATTTCCAGCGCTGTATTTGGTATCACGCCAACTTTGTTCATTTGAAATGATCCAATAGAAATCTACGAAAAAACGACGGACAACGCATTACAGATGCATATAAACTCACCTTTAGACGATATAATTTTTCTGCCGTAGACAGTTTTTCACTTTAAATCAAAAAAAAAAAAAAAATGATTGATTTAATGTAGAATATTTTTGGGTATTTCTTTTTGTACTGAAGTTAATTTCGTGTTGTTTGTTTTATAGATTCATTCTAAAAGGCAGTTTAGATCCAAACATTTTACATCGATTCGGCGGTTGTTCTTTTGAACTGGAAATCTGCTACTTACCCGACATGAGCTTACCAAACATTCTACCAACCAATAATCTAACTCCTTCGAAATCCATTCTTAGAAACGGTATCCTGCAAAAAGATGAACCTACGCCAAACAAAGATACTGAAGCTCAAACTGCCTCTAGTAGTAGCGAATCTATCAAACCAAATGAGAATTCTTCAACTCTAAAATGTCAAAATATCGGAAATGCATCGTCGTCATACGTGGGGATTAGGAGAAAAAGGCTAAAAGGTGATTCTTGGTGTTACAAGAAAGTGTGTGAAGAGGTTTTGGCGTTAACATCTGCTGGATTCAATAATCATGCGAAAGAAAAGTTAGAGTCTGCAGTTTAGGCAAATTTATTTTTTATACTATATTTTATAAAGGGAAATCATTTCAAGTGGATTGAATATATTCAACGTGGTTTTGGGATGCTTCCTTTCTTCATTGTACCGTTTGATTGCACGAAGACAGTGTCGTGATAGGCGAAGAAATAATAACAATGTGTACTTGTAGAATTTTTCAACTGTTATGTCCCCGGAAAACTTTTATTATTAACGTTTTATTATTAAAAAGTAACCATTAACCAATAAAAGCTTTAACCAATAAAAGCTTTAGTAATAAAAAATATTGTTCATAAAAGTTTTTGGTTGTTCTAAAATGGTTAATCCGGTTTATACTTCTCAAAATTTCCGTACAGTTATATAGAAAAATAAAAAAAACATGAAAATATAGTTGAATTTTTTGAATTTCGTTTTTTGTTCTCTGATAGATTTATTTAATAAATAATTATAGATTTTGATTAACATTTTTTCATCACCTTTTCTATCACATGAAAAATGTAGCATTGAACTAAAATAAATTTTGTGGTTTTTAACATATTAAAACAGCAAAAACTATGACGTTAATACTTAACTTGTATGAAGAATGCATTTTTCGCAAAAAGTTAATAATAAAAAAGTGTTTGCTTTTGTAAAGACAATCCGCGGACCTGGTGTTAAAAAAATATAATTTAATATTATATACAGTATGTCTCCGGATTGCCTTTACAAGAGGAAAAACTTTTTTATTATTGACATTTTGCTTGTTCTAAAATGGTTAAACCCGTTTATACTTATACCAAATTTCCATGCTGTTTTTAGAGATAAATTTAAAAAATATGAAAATATAGTTGAATTTTTTCTAAATATTAGAGTTGATGTCCTAAAAATTAAAATACGTTACTATGGTAATATAATTTCGTTTTTGTTTCTTTGATAGATTGATATTGATAAAATTTTAATTAACGTCATATTTTGTGGTGCTTTAAAATGACCTGTTAAAATGTTAATTTATTTAGTTCAATGCTACGGAAAGGGTGATAATAGTTGCGTAACCAACAAACAGCAAAAAATATGACTCCAATCAAAATTAATAACAACCGTCTATCAATGGAATGAAATCGAAAAAAAATCAACCATATTTTCATTTTTTTTCAATTTTCTCTAAAACTGTATTGAAGTTTTGAAAAGTATAAACGGGATTAACCGTTTTAGAACAATGTATTTGTCTCAAAATGTCAATAATAAAAAAGTTTTTCCTCTTGTAAAGACAATCCGAGGACGTATTGTAGTATATCTTTTCATGTGTATTAATGATCTCTTTCTGTATTTTTTTTTTTCATTTTTTTTACTCCAATATCTGTCTCGTATTTATATTGTTTATTATTGATATTTAACTGTACTCAAATCTTAGTATTAAGAGTACTTTTTGCCTCTTTTTTAAGTCTCTTCACCAATTTTATACTTTTATATTTAATATATGGTTTTTATGCCCAATATATCAATATATTTCAAATAGTAAATTAGTGTGGATAATTATTTTAGGGTGCTTTTGGGATGATTCTATTCTTCTGATTCATTATACTCAGTATGCAGAGTGTTTAATTTAGAGTAATTATATTATTGATTCTTTTCAATTAATACACCGCACGATCGAAAAAAAACCGGCATCACAGTGGTCTTTTAAATACTATATTAAAAATAGCCAAAAATTAATATTTAATTGAAGAAAAGTAATTTTAAAGGCTACTGTCGGTAGTTTTTTTCGATTATACGGTACTCAGTGACTTTGATCTCTTTCTGTCTTTTTCTTATTTCATTTAGAGCAATTTATGTCTAGTATTTATATCGTTTATAGTGGTTTTGACATTTCGATTTACGCAGATTTAGTATATGAGTATCTTTTTGTATAAATTCTATTTTGGTGTGTTTTGCAAATTTTGTACTTTTATATTTTGATGGATTTGGTTTTGAAAAAAGGAAATTTTTGATATAAAAATAAAGTATATTGTTGAATTTGTAGTTTTATTTGATATAACTTCCTTTGCAAAAAGACGAAACAATGAAAACAAAAGGTTTTACATTTTTAACGTTTAACCGCCAACCAACGTGCGGAAATGGAACATAACCGCTAACTTGAGGTTTGGCATACCGCTATGCGATTTTTTATGTACGCTCACCGGCAAAAAAAACCGGCCATTAAAAAGTAGTCCCAATTTCAAAGTTGGATTTCTCGCCAAAAACTCATTAGATTTTGATGATTTTTTTTTAAATTGTAAATTAATTCCTTCTTAACGGATGCTACGTCAGCAATTTTTATTATTTATTTTGAGCATATACAGGGCACAACAGTAAGTCGAACTTTTTTGCCCAAATTCTGTAACACCCTGTAGGGTGCAGCAGCAGTAGTAGCTATTGCTAAATCAAATCACATTGTAGCCTCATCTTTTGTGAGCATTTTGTTTTTTTAATCACGACATTATCTCTGTTTCAATTGGAGATACGCTGCTTTAAAACAAACGCCTCGAAAAAGACTTTAAAAACAAATCAAACATCAGAATGTAGGTACGTTTAACCTGAAAACTAACTAAAAACATGAAAATTAAAAAAAAAAGGTCAAGAAATTTTAAGGCATAATATCTAGTGTCCACTCGCCTGGTGAAATTTCCCGTTTCCATATACCGATTCGAGGCATCCAGGACTGTTGTTCGAAATATACCCAGGGTATCGGAGATATAACGTTGACTTCGGCCATCCTCAATTAAAGCCACAATACGAGCAACATTCGTTATAGATGGCATTTTTTAATTTGACAACCGTTTTTTTATATTGCAAATACTTATAAATCCGTTTTTGCCTATGTCGCCTTGATTATTTACACATAAAACTGTCTGCCTTTCAAGAAGCATTTTTCTGAGACGTTCGTTTTAAAACAGCATATCTCCAATACAAAAAGAGATAATGTAGTGATTAAAAAAAATGCTAACAAAAGATGAGGCTACAATGTGATTTAATTTAGCAATAGCTACTACCGCTGCTGCATCCTAGAGGGTGTTACAAAGTTCGGGCAAAAAACTTCGTCTTAATGTTGTGCCCTGTATATGCTCAAAATAAATTCGGAATAAAAATTTCTGACGTAGCATTCGTTAAAAAGGAATTAATTTACAATTTAAAAAAAAAATCATCAAAATCTAATGAGTGGTTCGCGAGAAATCCAACTTTGAAATTGGGTCTAGTTTTTAGTGGCCGGTTTTTTTTTGCCGGTGAGTTTATAAAAAATAACTCCTTTTATCAGGAGCATTTATTCATAAATTATTTAAGGGATAATAAAAATACCAAAATACATTAATGGGGCCAATGTAAGTGTTTCTCGCAATAAAGAAATAAGCATCCCCCTCAGCTTGATATCTGATCTTTCTATGCCTTTGGTGCTTCCCAGTGGCGGACTAAGGGGGGGGGGGGCGGAAGGGGCGGTCCGCCCCGGTCCCCGTCTTTTAGGGGGCCTCCGAATCTTAATAAGTAATTTTTTATTCAACTGGCAAACAAGGCCAATATGTGTTCAGTAGTTATAAAGCAGTTTGTAGGTGGAGTATGCAAATCATATGTATACGCCAACTATAAACAGTATAAATGGAAGCTGATATTTACTTAATTATCAATTATCAGGCCCCAGTAATTGTCAATGGCACTTTCTATTTAGGAAATTAAATCAAGGGGTAATTTTCTTTGCTTAAAATATCGAATAATTATTATTTTTTATATATTTTGAGACTGTTTTATCTTTTAAGTTATTTTTCAATGGTTTCATTATTTATTTTTACTGAATAAACATTTTAAATTACAACCAATGCACAGCATAACTTGTATTCTAGCTTCATTACTGATGATGAGCAGTAAAGTCTTTAGTATAACGGGGGCCACGGGCTTGAGACAGCGAAGGGGCCCCTCGGATCTTGGAGGACTTACAAAATCGCGATATTTTGAGGCGGCATTTCCCTGGAAGCATTTTTAAGAAAAAAATATTTAAATTTTTGGACGGAATAAACTGCCTGTCAAAAAATTTGTACAGCGTAAAAGTCAAATTTAGTTATTATCACAGCCCCTGTGACATAAAGATAAGACATGTGGCTATCTATTTCAAAAATTAAATTGTTCATATGTCATATAATAATGGCGGTAGCTGTCATGGAATTGAGCGATTAAAAAATTATTATAAATATTTTTTTTTTCAGATGGAAACCCACTTTTTTTTTATTTCACTAGGGAAGAGGTTTCCAATTCGTTATGTTTTAACTAGACATATTCCTATACCTAAAATAAATCGTTTTTAAGTTATTTAAGATTTAGTTTGAAAACGTATATTTTTCTTGATTTTATCTACCTTCCTTTGACATTAAGTGTCAGTCAGACAATTTATTTCCATCTGTCAGAAAATGAATTATTTGAATTTCCTATATTATAACTACTGCTGCTTAAAAGTTTAAAAAGTGTATTTATATAAATATATCTCGTATTTTCGTACTTTAGTAATATGTAATAGTTGATATTTTAATAATACCGTACGATCGAAAAAAAAACAGCGCAAAGTTAGCTTGGAAATGATGATCGATAATATACTGTCATAGGCTACTGGTTAAAATCAAGAAAAATATACGACGCTTTAAAGCTAAATCTTAAATAACTTAAAAACTATTTATTTTAGGTACAGAGTACCAAATTTTAAAAACGAAAGTAACGAAAGTCTTTTCACTAGTGAAATAAAAAAAGTGGATTTCCATTTGAAAAAAAAAAAGATTTATGATAATTTTTTAATCTCTCAATTCCATGACAGCTGCGGCCATTATTATATGACATTCGGACAATTTAATTTTTGACATAGATAGCCACATTCATGTCTTTATGGTACATGCCTCTTTATGGTACAGTGGCTGTGGCAATCACTAAATTTGACGTTTAGGTTATATACATATTTTTGACAGGCAGTTTTTTACCTCGAAAAATTATAAATATTTTTTTTTCAAAAACGGTTAACGTTAGGTATAGAGTGTTTAATATCATAATTCATAAAATTTTACAGAGAATTTAAGTATGTAATAACAAATGGGGTCACCCATTTAAAATAAGAAAGTTGCTGTCAACTTCCGGAAAATATTTTTAATTGATAGATCTCATTGTGAAACAATGATATGCACAAAATCTCATATCTAGATATTGTAGTTCTCTAGAAACTTCTAACGCAGGCTCAGCCTTGGACACCCTGTATAAATACTTGAATTTTGTCAACCATTATACATACGTCATTCAATTTTTGAAGAATGTGCATTAGAAGTATATCATTATCTAAACAGACTGGGGGCCACATTTAGCTTCGCCGCCCCGGGCCCCCGACAGGCTTAGTCCGCCACTGGTGCTTCCACAACCTTCTCGAGACTATAGCCTTAGATTAACAATAAAAAACTATAGCCATCAAAAATTACAAGGGAGAAAGAGAATAGGAACTAAGCTCCAAAGGGAAAAATTAATTATCTGAATGTACGATTGCAACTCGTTAGAAAAGTGTGGTTGGATTACAGTCCAACATACAATATACAATTAGAATGATAGTTCTGCTAAAAAGCAAGGTGCTGAAAAAGCAAGAGATTTTGCTTTTTCACTTCATTTAAAATTCATAATTTTATTGAATAGTTTTTTAACAAGTGTTAGTTAACAATAAAATTAACTAAACAAAACTAAAAAATCTAATTTTTACTACATCACAGGCAAATAAAAATTAATATTGTTGCGAGCCGGTGTGGACTCGACCTAACCTCACAATATGGCCCGCCCTCGGATGACCTTAACATCGCATAGACACCGCAATGATTCATTCGTTCGAGAAGAATCGAGTCCCACTGGAATGGACGAGTACATACGAGAACATTCGAAAACCTTCTCTACGCACCTAACGATCTATGGACAATTCTAGAGTTCTTTACCTGTCGGTATAAAAGCCGGCGGCGGTGGCCTACAGGGGGCAGTTATAAATATACAGTTGACGCGCTAAAATTCAAAATAACTTCTTAGTTATAAATCGTTTGTAAATAGTTCTATAAG